GAGGGGCCGCCCTCGCATCACGAAATCTCGCGTGACGCGTTCCCTCAGAAACCGTACGAAGTCATGCTGCGCGCACGCCTGTGCTTCGCTCCTGGTAGCTAGCGCCCCCCCCATCTTCCTCCTCGTCCGCCGCTTGGCCAAGGGGGGGGGGAGGGGCCTCGCCGAGGTACTCGTTCGCCGCCTGGGGGAAGGGGGAAGGGGGGAGCGGCGGGGCAGGTCGCAGGGCGTGACCGCCGCGCGCGACAAGCAGCCGTATGCCGACCTGCTCGCTGCAACCGGCGCCTGCAGCCCCGCGACGGGCCTCGCGCAGGACTGCCGCCTTCAACTCCACGCGGTGAGATGGCCAGCCTCCGAGTGGGAGAACGCACAGTCAACCCGTAGAATAAGGACGCACGATAAGGATACAAAGGCGTTGAAAGACCACGTCGTGACTTTGCGACCGGGGCGCGGCCAGCGGAAGCGGTCAAGGATGGGCCGAAGGGGAAGGATGCAGGGGTAACCTTGGGAAAGTCGCTCATCCTTACTATGCGGGTTGACTGTATCGGTGATCATCCCGCGCGCATTAGGTGGTCTGCTGGTGGTCATCACCCTTGCAGTGGGGATTCATGGAGGAGGTCTGCTGAAATTGCACGAAAGGGAGAACCGCAACTAGCCTTCGCAATGGAATGCTTTCGCGCCTTATCCCCAGGTCTAGGCTTCAAGCGGACCCTCGTCCCATGGAGCTCGGGGAGCTCCCATGGGCACGTGGCCATACCTTGGTCTGCCTGGCACGTCGCCGTCTGCTTGCAAGCAAGCGTTGGCCTGCATGGCGTGGAACGTGCCTGGCAGGCGTGGTGGGCGGTGCAGCTTCGAGCCGCCCTCGCCTTCCTATAGCGGGTCCGAATCTGTGCCCGCCCCGATGTGGTCCGCTGCTGTTGGGGGCCGCCCGCGGCCTCGGCGTGCGACCTCGCCCCACCCTTGCCGCGCGAAGCGCGCCGGGAAGCGCGCAGGGGACGGCGGGTAAAGGATTCACCAGGAGTGCCCCCGAGAGCTGCTCGAGACTTCGCGAGATGCTCCGAATCCCCTGCGTTCGTCCAGCACCGATTCGCTGCGCTCGCGCTTCTCGCCGGCGTGCAGTCGCCCTGGCCCTGCACGCTGGAGAATTTTACAAAAGGCTGGTTCTGAAGATGCCCACCCTTGCATCCAGCATCACAGTAAAAACGAATCACAAGGATAGGATGCAAAGGTGCAAAACGCATGGGACGTGCCAAGGTGGAATGAAATGCCTGAGCCGCCACTGAAATCTTGGTCTGCGTCGGCAGAGGATACGCCAAGGATGCCGCGAGCCTAAGGATTCTTGGGTGCCTTGCTTCGTGGGCTCATCCATTGACGCCAACCCTGATTGTACAAACTTCACGGCCAGGCCCTGCGCGCTCAAACTCTCCAACGCATCTCCAGAACTGGCGTTGGCTTGCTAGGGCCATGCCAAAGCCGGCTAGCTGACGCGCCAATGCTGGCCTGTGCTTGCTTGGCTCAAGTGTTGTCGCTGAGGGCTCCGACTGGTTCCTTTGCCGATTCCTCTGCGGCCGTATCAATGTCGTCTTGGACGGTGTCCTGGCCACGCTCCATGTGCTCGGCCGCTTGGCCTGCTGTACTGGTCGGGAGGACGGCAGATCCACAGCTCGGACATGAACGAGGAGCAATGCTCCGATATGCGGGTTTACATCCCCTGAAACTTGCGGAAGTCATATCGCTCTTCATTGTCAGCCACGAGCTGCTCCGCATCGATTGCGCCAACTGTTCCCTGTAGTTGATGCCCTGCGCCCCCCCCTGCAAACACGGATGCCACAACCGGTGGATACGTCGCCCCAGCATCGACCAGCTTCCGCACGAACGGCTTCGACAGTTTCGCGCAGTGGCGGTAGGTGATGGAACGTGAATGTCATTGATGGGTAGGCACTGTGCGCATCCATCCAGTGGCAATTGACTCGTGTTTGTTCCTTCGAATGAAGGTCCGATGGTGAAATGCCAGCTTCCTAGCTGATGGGAAGGGAGCTCCATGCTATCACAGTCGGGCAATGAAGGGGAGGAGGAGGAGGAGGAGGAGGAGGAGGAGGAGGAGGAGGAGAAGGAGGAGGAGGATGAGGAGGGGGAGGATAAGAAAAGAGAGAGAGAGAGAGGGAGGAACGACGCTCCCAGCGTAGATGGAGAAGAGCTGGGGACCAACGACTGATTTAAAAGAACTCTCAAAACTATGACCACGTGATAGTCTTCAAAGCGCCAGGCCAAACAGTTCCGCCACGGCAGGAATTATGCACATGCAGCTGCTGGTTGGCAGTCTACATACTTTCAGTGAGGTGGCTTGAGTCAAGGGGGCTCCTCCCTCCTCCTCGCTCCTACCTGATCCCTCCTTATTCCCTCCTGCTTCCGTCCAGCTGCCCCCATCATCTATCCATGGGGGGTCGCAAGAAATGTTGCACCCCCTCTGCTGCTGCTCCTGATCCTGATGTTCCTCAGAAAATTAATGTCTTCCTCCTGCATCTCCCGCCCCTCCCCCTCCCGGACGAGCTCTGTGAACTGCCCGGCAGCGGCAGCGGCTCGAAGAGAGATCGAGCTGGGGCCACCGCGTAGAGCACGCGCTCTTTGCAGGTCGCCGTCTGTCCTCGCCGCGCCGCCCATGCCGCAAGTCAGCAAATGGGGGCTGAAAGAAGCGCCGGAAGTAGGGCCGAGAGGACAGGCCCGACCAGAGGGGAGCCCACCCTTGTCGCGCAGCTGATTCCTGCGTGCATCCGTTACCTCCCAATCCTTCCACCTGTGCGATCTGTTGGTTGCCCCTTGCCAGATCCAGATTATTGCTGCCAGTCTCACGCGTACACTTCCCCCCATCCTGAGTCTTAAACAACAAATCGCATTGCGTACTGGTGCTGGCTAGCATGGCTAGTGGCTAGTACTAGTAGTAACAACGTCTAGAACACCAATACGAACCGTAGTCGCAACAATGCCAGTAGTACTGTGGGAGCTACCAAATCCGACGGCTACGGCGGCGACCGCTAATGTACCCATACAAGCACTGGCAGCAAATGGTGATAACGCCCATAATGCTGGCACAACCACTGCTGCTTCTATGCTGTACTACTGTTATGGCAACTTGTGCTGCTACTCTATCCGTCGCGTTCTGATACTGCATCTGCCACCGTGCCAGTCCTCGATCCTCCGGGCTCTGAGGGGCCCAGAGCCCGAATTCACAAATCTCCTTGGGCTTGTCGCGGCTTCCTGCATGCTTGCCGCGGCTTCCCGCGTGACACCAAGAGGGCCCCAAGCCAGGCCAAGAGGGCCTCAAGAGGCTCTCACGGCCCCCCACGAGTGCCCCGAGACACCAAAATATCGGCCCAAGACGCCCAAGATGGCCCGAAGACGGCCCAGAAGCCTACAAGACGCCCCAAGAGGCTTCCAAGAGGTCTCCTAAGAGGGCCCCAAGAGGCCAACATCATTGAGTCTCCAAAGGCTTTGTAAGGTTTCTGCGGTCTCACCCTTTCGGTTCCCCAACGCTCCAAGACTCCCCAGGAGGTCCCCAAGGTCGCTCCAAGAGGGCCCAAGAGGCCTCCAAGAGGGCCCCAAAACGGCCCAAGAGGGCCCCAAGACGGCCCAAAGGGCGCCCAAGATGGCCCAAAAGTCACCAAAGACGGCCCCCAAGAGGCCCCAAGAGCGCGCTCCGAAGAGACCCCAAGAAGCATCACTGGCAACTCTGACCCACGACCCAGACAAGGTGGCGGGATGGGCCGAAGGCCATTAAATACGAGCGCACCAAAACTACCTTCACCACGCGTGCCTCTGCCATTACCAGAACTACTAGCTCTGGCTGATACCACAACGAGAAGACACATCACGTGATGCCGCAACATGTGCCACTATCAATGATGCCACTTCTGCGGCCCATAGCACTGCGACAACGACTGCTGCTGCTACCACTGCTGCTGCTGCTGCTGCTGCTGCTGCTGCTACTGCTACTGCTGTTGCTTCTACTTTTGGTGCGAGAAATACTGCGACTGTTCCTAGCTCAGATAATACGATATGTACCCCGTGTCAGCCACTTTTCTGATCGGTTATCTTGTGCTTCTAAGGCCGCCCACCCCCTCCTCGTCGCAAAAGTCAAGAGACCATTCTCATCTGGTTTTACTATTTGGCACACTCTTCAACCTCCAAACGGCTCCAAAACAGCCCAGACCAGCTCTAACACGGTTTCAAGACGACCCAAGCCAATCCAAAGACAGCCAACTTCTCCCCCGAAAACTCCAACATCTTCCTGAACTGCCCGAAGAACCAACGAAAAACTCAAAGAAACGCCCAAAGAGACTTCCGGTGAGGCTGAGGCCCGTGGGGGAAGAAGAACACTGCGAAACTAACGGAATGTCATTGCTTTTTGCTTCCGATGTTGTGATGCTTCAGATCGCCTCGCGAAAGCTTCAGCTTACCCAAGAATGCTCCGACTACTGCCCGAGAACATTTCAAGACGTCCAAAGAAGGTTCTAATATCCGACCAGACGTCCCGGCGATGGTTCAATCGAGCCTCTTTGGGAGAGCTCGGAGGAAGCATCGTGCGCAAGACGGCCCCGAGATCCTCGACGGGCTCCCCAACGGGCCCCCGAACAAGCCCCCAAGATGCGATCCGACGCCACAACGGCCCCCAGAAACTCAGAGGAGACCACCAAGAAACCACCGATAGGTTTCAAGAGGGAGGAGCGGGAACGGGGAAAGGACGGAGTAGGAAGGAAGGGCAGAACGAACCTGCGGACAAGGAGACGGCGCTCAGGACACGCGCCGGTGCAGACGAAACATCGAACTGGAGCGGGTCTGAAACACTATCCTCAGCCTGCTGCGCTGCTGCACTGGCACGATGGCGGGAGGTCCTGCAGGCAGCTGGGTCCTGCACGTGCTCGTGCTACTGATGCCACTACTGCTGCTGCTAGTTTCAGCCGCGGCTGCTGCTGTTGCAGGCAACTGGATAGCATACATCCTCGTACTACTGGTGCCACTACTGTTGCTGCTAGTTTGAGCGGCAGCTGCTGCTGCTGCTGCTACCAATGCTGCTGCACCGCTATTCGGATCGTCTGGCAACCCTGAGAGGGTCAATGACTGGATTGTTACGGGAATGCGGCGATGGCTGCTTAAGTGTCGTGTGGCATGACGGCGGCGACAGGAGGGGCGATGGGAGAACGGGGGAGGGGCACTGCGGGCCAATAGGACTAGCCTGGGCATGGTACAGCACGTCGACGCGTTGCACGATGCAAGGCTCGCTTCTGGGGCAATTCTGGTGGACTGCTGCTGCGCCCACGGTGAGGTCCGCACCTCATGGTGGCTTACCCTTGGTAACACCTGGCAGCCAGGGAGCTGTGATGCCATGGCCCGCGGCGGCGGAGGGGTGCAGCCCAGTTGTTGGCTCATTGTTGGCAAAGAACAATAGGAACACGCTGCCCGCGGAGGTGGACACGTACAGATCGGAACGGAGGAAGGGCACCAGGTGGTGGGAGGATCAACAAGAGGAGGGCTGGTTATCGGCTCTCCTCATCGTCGCTAAATGAAGGAACGCAGCATGCACGTGTTTGCCCGCGTGGGCCCCGCACCATCAGTTGTTTGCACTGCGGATGTGTAAGCTACGCGGTGCCAACTACATGGAGCAATCTACTTGGTGAAGGCTATGTGGTGTAAGCTATGTGGTGCACGCTATTGAAATACAACCTGCGTGGTGCAAGCTATGTGGCGCGATGTGGTGCACCAGACGTGGTGGCTTTGTGTTTTGCCAACTCTTGTATTGTCAATTCCCCTGCTCGCGCAATCATCTTGGTTTGCAAGACCCTTGCGGCGGCGACTGCGGTGACTGCTTGGCCATGCCTGGCGCATCTCTGCGGCCGCGCTGGCACGCGCAAGCTCGCGCGCAGAGCGGCCAACCTGCTCGGAACAGCCGATGCGGCCGCGATGGCGCTTATTTGTGACAACGCCCCAGCGCGTGTGAAAGGTCGCGCTGGCGCGCGGGCACTTGTACGTATGCGGGTCGGTGGATCGGGCGGGCGCGGTGACATGACTTTGCCGGCAACAGCGGCACAGATAATGATAACAGCGATGGTGGTGGCGATGGTGATGATGACGACGGCAAGGCCAATGACGGCGCCGATGCGGGTAACGACGATGACGATGATGATGTCCATGTGTCGATGATGAAGGTGTTGGAGTGGTGACGATGACGTGATGCGGCGGCTCCAATGAGGGTGATTGCGAGGAAGTGCGCGCGCGGACCTCCAAGAACGTTGGCACATGCTTGGTTGGAAAGATGTGTTTGGTTTAGACGTGCTTGAAGAGCTCTATTTTGAAATGGAACGAAAACACCTGGTTTTGAAAGGGTTTCGATACGCTCGCGTTGCGGCGCGCGCGCGTGGCCCGCATGGCATTAGCTGATACAGAATCGTGCACTGGGCGAATGCTGGATCAACGCGGATGCACCACGTGGTGAGATGAGACTGCGAGTTTTGGGCGAGATTGTCAAAATCATTTGGTGCTCCTCTGAGCTCAGCAAATCCGCGCAGGCAGACAGTTTGCACAATGTGTACTGGAATATTGCTTTTGAAACCCTTGCAGAACTGGTGTGCTGTTCTGATTTCGATATGTGCGCGCGTAGACTTCGTGCATGCGTCTAGCCGGGGTTCTTGAACAATAATATTTTGCGTTCAACGAGTGCGCGCATGATATTATTTGACATGGACAAGGGAGGACATGCTGTCTTGGCAGGGATGGTCTGACTTCTTATGGGAAGCGAGCGAGAAAATATACGATTTGAACTGTCCCAAAGAGTGCCGAGGGACAGGGTTGGTAGAGTCGAGCCGTCTTGTGGAAAGAGAATATACGTACAGCACGCTATGCGGTGTAAACTATCTCGTGTAAGCGATGTGGTGCAAGCTACGTGGTGCAATTAATTTCTGTTCGCAATGAGTTGTCCACTCCACTGCTCGCGCAAACATCCCACCCACCCACCCGCAACTTGGTTTGCAAAACCTCTTAAGACCGTGACGGTGGGTACCAAATGGCACTTGGCAACGACAGCGACGCCGACGACGACAGCGACAACGACGACGACGACGCCGCAGACAACGACTACGACGACACCGACGACGTCTCCAACGACTTCGACGACGCCGACAGCGACGACGACGACGATGACACCAACGACGACGACGACGCCGATGCCGGCGACGACGACGACGACGATGACAACAACGACGACGACGATGACGACGCCGACGACGACGACAACGACGACAACGACGACGACGACGTCAACGACGCCGACGACGACGACGACGACGACGACGACGGCAGCGACGACGACGACGCCGACGTCGACGACGACGAAGACGACGACGACGCGCCGACGCCAACGACGACGACGAAGACGACGGCGACGTCGCCAACGAAGACGACGACGAGGGAGGAGGGAGGACGACGACGGCGACATCGACGACAACGACGACAACGACGAGGGAGGACGGCGACGACGCGAACGACGAAGAAGGAGGAAGGACGGCGACGACTACGACGACAACGACGAGGGAGGAGGGAAGACGACGACGACGACAACGACGACGACGACGACGGCGACGAAATAGAAGGGACGACGACGAGACGCCGACGACGGACGACGACGACGACGAGGGAGGAGGAGGAAGGACGACCACGGCGACAACGACGACGGATACGACCACGACGCCAAAGAGGACGACGACGACGAACACGAGGAAAGACAGAGGACGACGTAGGCGACGTAGGCGACGACGACGACGCGGGAGGAGGGAGGACGGCTATGACGACGACGACGACGACGACGACGACGACGACGACGACGACGACGACGACGACGACTACGCAAGAGCGCGCGCGCACGCTTTTGTTGAAAAATCCGTGTTGCGAAACCTTATGTTTTTGTAGGTTTTTTGGACACGCGATGTTGAAATCCGTCCGAAACCGATGGGTTTTGAAGGATTTCGGCATACGCGCGCGATGACGCGCGCGTCTGCACTTCGTCCCATGTTTTGCAAAGGTTTCTCGCGACGGCACACGCGCAAGGGCGTTCGACAGATTTCGACATGCGCGCGCGCGAAGTCAGTTTGGTAGCATGTTGTGAAAATCTTGAAAGTCCTATGGTTTTCTTTAGATTTCGCAAGAGCTCGCGCGTAAGCTTTTTTAGCAAATCAGTGTTGCGAAACCATGTGTTGTTGTATGTTTTTTGGAAACTATATTGCGACATCCTTCGGACACCGAAGGTTTTTTGAAGGATTTCGGCATGCGCGCGCGACGACGCGCGCGTGTGCACTTCGTCAACTTTTTTGCAAGGGATTCGCGAAAAAGTCTTATGTTAGAACAACAAATGTCCCCGCGTGTCGTTTTTTTACAAGGGAGCCTCAGGGGGCCGATACCGGCCCCCCTGGGATAGTGCAAATTCATATTTAGGATGGACGTGCGGTCAGAATCATATATGATTTACATACCCGAAAGGGGGGGCGGATAACGCCGGGGGGGGGTAGAGTGTATTCTCTCTTTGGACAGGAGAATCTACGTGCTGCGAGCTATCGGCGCGCCCCCGCGCCTTTCCCTCATTCGCCGTCTCCCTCCCTCTCTTTTTCCCTCTTCTCCATGCGTTGCTCCCCCTCCCTGCTCCTGCCGTTGCCTCCCCTTCCTTATCTGTCTGGGTCCCCTTCTCTCGGCCGCGTCTCTCTTCGAGCCCCTGGGAGGAGTCTTCTCCCGTCTCTGTTTGAGCCTCTCGCGCCTTTCATCGACTCGCCCAATCGCCTCTCCTCGGGGCCTTGGAAGCGTCACCCCTCACACTGAGCGAGCGAGAACCGGGGGGCAGGGATGAGGAGGGGACGGGAAGGGAGGAGGGAGGGGAGAGGAACGGCAGGTGGGATGCGCGCACCCTCGTATTCGCAGACGCTGTCACAGCCCAAGATCTTCGTGGAGCTGGGCTTCGGCGCCTGGGCGGGGTTTGCTCGTGGGGCGCTCCCAACCCGCGCGCATGGAGCTTCACTTCTGCTCGTGATCCTGTGAAGTTCGAGGGCTTGCCACAAACCAACGCCTGCATTTGAAAATGCGCCGCATGGATGAAACTACACGCCATAGTTTCATGCTCTTGCTACAGCCACTGCTGCTGATACTGCTACTCCTGCTACTGCTGCTGCTGGTGCGACTTCTGCCAATGCTGGTGATACCATTCCAAGAGGCAACGCGGCTGGATCTGAGACGATACTACTACTCGGAGGTAAGAGCATGGCCCGTGCAAAGGCGAGAGCATCAGTCCGGACGCAGCAATGTGGCCAGCGCTATGGCGACAGCGCCGCTTTTGAAGCACAAAGATCGCCAAGTGCGCGATACTAAACGTGAGGCCGGGCAGTGTCTGGGCACCAGCAGCAGCAGACACGCAGAAGTGACAGCTTCGACAGAAGCAGCAGTAGTAGGCAGAAATATCACCATCACACAGCACTAGCAACTCCACCGGTCACTTCTGGCCGGTGCAGCAACAGTAGCAGCACAGGCAACGAAGATGACACCACTCTGGAAACCCTGAGTATCCCAGATATGATGTCTCGTCGGAAGGCAACTGTTACTTCCGCAGGCTTCCGCCAGCGGAGCCGCCCTACTTTTACTGCCGCGAGCTTCTGCCGAAGACGAGGTGCCAACTGTCTCGGCTTTTCGAGTCTACAGGATACAAAGGAACACATCAACATAAACTTTCGGACCCCCACGCGGATTCCTTGGATCTGCGCCGGATCCCCTCCCCGGCGCGCGGAGGCGCCGCCAGGGGGGCCCAGCGCCGATCCAAGAGATCTGCGCGGAGCTTCGAAAGTTTCTGTTTATGCCGATTCCTTTCTCCAAGAGAACCCTCCTGGAGGTCTGTGTGCAGGAGCTGTCCGGGGGCGTGCCCGGGCCAGGGGCCCGGGGGGGCATCCGGCCGCGGCCACGAAGGGCCGCCCAGCCACGGCCACGACGAGCCGCCGAGAGGCCGAGAAGGGGCCTGCAAAGCTCTCCCGGATCTCTCGATCCTCGAACTTCGGCATGTCGGCCCCAACCGGCGGATGAGCCGCTCGGGAGGCGACCGCCGCTCGCCCCTGCCGCGCGCCGGCGGCGACGCGCCTCGTCGCAGACCCGAGGCCGCGGCCGAAGTCGTCCGTGTGCGGCGGCGAGCGGGGCCCGCCCCCCGGAGGAGGACGACCCGTCCGGCGCGGGGTGGTCGACGACAGGGTCTGGGCATCCGGGTGGGCCTGCACGGGAGCCTCCGTGGGCCTCCGCGGCCCTATCGCAAGCGCGATTCCGGCCAGATTCCGCCCAGGCTTCGTCCACCCTGCTCTTCGCTTTCGTCCAGGTGTCGTCCAACTGTCGACGAACTCCGGACGGCAGCCCCCAAACCGCAAGGAAATTTGGGACCTTCTGAGGCTCCCATGAGGGACCGCGCAAGTTTTTTGTTTTTGTGTCTCTCTCTCTCTGTCTCTCTCTCCCTCGACATGAACGGCTTCGGAAATCCAGAGTCCCCCCCACAATAAAGCCCCGCATCCACCCCAGCAGTGATGGCATCTTTTTTTTGGTTAAGGAAACTGCGCCCGAACACCTTCCAGACGGACGCTTCGTGCGGGGCCATTGCCGGCGCACACGAGGGAAAGGCTGATCAAAAGGAGGCCGCTTCTGAGAAGGCGCTGGCCCTACATCTATATAGACAAGGCCCGCGCCTTCTGAGAAGCAGGGGTGCTTCTCAGAAGCCTCCCCCCTTCCCCCTGCTCCCCTCTGCGCGTGGCCGCTCTGCCGAACTCCGCAGCTTCTGCTCCCGCCGGCTCCCGCCGGCGGGCCCGACCTCGTCTTGCTCCCGCCAGCCCTCCAGCGAGGAGGCGGTGCCGCCTGCCCCGACATCTCCCTCGAGGGCCAGAGGCCCCCGACCCCGATCTCGTCTTGCTCCCGCCAGCCCTCCGGCGAGGAGGCGGTGCCGCCTGCCCCGACATCTCCCTCGAGGGCCAGAGGCCCCCGACCCCCCGATGCCCCGGCATCCTGCACCACCAGACGGGGCCCAGGGAGGCGCACGTAGACACATCAGGATCCCAGGATTCCAGGTTTGCTTCCCCTATAGTGTCGGGATGTGCGTCTTCCCCTCGACTTGTTATGTCTTCCTGGGCGCCGACGTTCACATCTGTCTGTTATGCTCCCCCTCCCGAACCACGGTGTCCCGAAGCCCTGACTCTCCCCAGGGCCAGCTCGTCATCCCGAGTCGCCTCGACGGCCCCGGAGTCCGGAACCTGCCCACGGGGGCTGAAAGCGACGAAACGCCGCCGCGCCGCCGCCCTGGTCTTGTCAAGACGCTGGATGCCTCGGGCCCTCCTTGGGACCCTCCGCACCCTGCCTCACGCTGCCAGCTCCTCGAAGACCTCCCTCGGCGGCGCGCCCCGGGGGGGGGGGGAGAAGTGAGAGGGGGCAGGCCTTCTCAGAAGGCGGCGGGGGCTCTCAGCAGCCCCCGCCGGCCTTTTGAGAAGCCGCCTGCCGATGTCTGCGGAGAAGGCTTCCACAGCTTCTCTGGATTCCAGATGTCTTCCGAGCCTTCTGAGAAGGCCCGCCCGCTCACACTTGCCCCCAAGGCTCGCCGCCGACAACTCCTCGAAGAACTCCCCTCTGCAGAAGGGCGCACGACGCCGAGGCGGGCGCCTCCGTGGTTGACGGCGTCGTCGGCGCTGGCGCGGGTGTGGTCGGCACCTTCGCAGCCGTGGGCCCAGGGTATGTGGAGAGGCAGGGGTCACGGGGCCTCTCCTACTCCTCCTCCTCCTCCTCCTCCTCCTCCTCCTCCTCCTCCTCCTCCTCCTCCTCTTCCTCCCCATCCTCCCCACCATCATTACCGCCACCATCAACAAACATATCATCACTGTCGTCACCATCATCAATCTCCGCATCACCACGAGCTTCCGAATTATCACAGCCATCATCACAGTCACCATCGCCATCACCACCACCACAACCATCATTATCATCATCATCATCATCATCATCATCATCATCATCATCATCATCATCATCATCGTCATCATCACCACCACCACCATCAGCGTCAGCATCAGCATCGTTATCATCATCATCATCATCCTCATCATCACAATCACCATCATAATCACCATCACCTGCCTGGGGGCAGCGGTGCCCATCGCAGTGCTCGTAGCTGGTTCTTGCGAAGCTGCGGCCCCACGTTGACTGCGTCAGCCTCACGGCTGACTGCGTCAGCCTCACGGCGCTCGTCTGTGGCCCAGCGGCTGCTTGTTGTCCATCATCTTTATCGTCGTCGCCATCGTCATCGTCGCCACATCCTCAACATCATCAACATCATCATCATCATCATCATCATCATCATCATCATTGTCGTCACCGTCAGTACCACCATTTTCAGCAACATAACCCACAACATCAACGCCGCGACGCTGGAGACACATGGCTGGATTGACACGTGGAACATCCTGGGGCCACTTGCTGGGTATACGTGCGAAAGCCAACCTACGGCCATAGACAGGCCGGGCGCTGGAACTACATCAAGCCACGTGTGTATCCAACTCTCGCCCACGCCGGCCGCGCCATGTGTATCCAACTTCCTGATATCACCGACATCACCATCATCATGGTCAACCAGGCACAAAATACGAGGTGGTGGTGCTGCCGACGTGCAGCCACCCCCAACAGAAAGCGCTGCGGGCTGCCTCCGCCCCCGCCCACCAACGCACTCCGCCGAGCAGCAGAGCGGGGCGGCTGGCTCGGAGGGAGGAAAAGGGAAATCACGCTCAACGCCAAGCGCCCGAACATACCTCGACCTGTTGGCAAGGACGGGCGCTGGGCGGGCCATTCATAACATGGACAATCTACGATACCCTATCCATTCCAACCTGTTGCGCCACTTTGACGAAGAAGGGGAGGAGATGCATGAGCTTAGCGGCCCATGGCACCTCCGAAAAATCAGGTCGGCCTTTGAGCCTCTGAATCGTCTGGCACGTGAGGACGTAAAACGATCGGGGAGGTTTGTATATGTATATATACACATGTGTACACACATCTATAACAAACGGACGGCTGACTTTTCAAATGCGTATGGCAAGTCTCGCTCCCTGTACTACATTCCACCAGCGGCGGCGGCAGCCCCGACACTGCCACGCAGGCGCGAGCCATCCAGGTCCAGTCCTGACCTCGTCCCACGCATCTGCCACGGCTTTGCGCCGACGGGTGAGCAATCGCAAGCGTGCTTCAAACGCTTGTTTTGTCGTGTCAGGGAGGCAAAAATTTTGCCGAATGGTGAGCATGCCAAAAACGCACACGCAGGCGCACAGTATCGACACATGTGAGGGCAGGGGATCGAGTTGAATAAGGGTGGCTACCCGCGGGATTACAACAGGGGCCACATGAAATTGTAAACCCATCCATCTGACACGTAGCTCGCGAACGCGATTGTCGAACGTGTAGTGGCGGCGATCGTCATAGTCTCTGGGCATGTCGAACCCTCATTCAGTGTGAGTATACCCGAAGATACAGCCACGGGGGAGAGAGTGCTAACGAGCACTAGTACACACACCACGAGTACATGTTCGGGGGACACCCATGGCCGCGCACGAAGAGGTCGCAGCAACATGTCGTCGAGTTTGAAGGCTGAGGTGGGAGAGGTCAGAACAGCCGACTTCTGGCAACCATGTTCTCAAAGGATTTATGAGACCTTCGAACACAGTCGGCCCTGGGACAAGTAACGCATGAGGACGGGCATGCAATTTCCTCTGGACAACGTGCGGCTTCATATCCGTGAGGTGAGCAGCGCCGTGACGCAGCTGAGCAGTCTGGAGCACGCCAGGTAAGAACGACTGCTGGTACCAACCTATGGGATCGACTACACGCGCAGGACAAACAGCGTCACTATTAACAACTCGCTTGAGCTCCACTCAGCACACTTGAACGCAAGGGCATTTGCAGGCGAGGCGGACGCGACATGTGGTAGACAAAGCAGTGATGTCAGGTGATTCGATGGGAAAGCCAAGCTTCTTCATCGACGCGGGCATGTAATACGACAGTGCGTGATATGGACCACAGGTCAAACGCTATAACATATGTTTATAGACTTTCTTAACCAGGAGCGTGAGATGTTCAACCTGCATCACAAACTGCAGCACCGACACACATGATCTGAGATGGCGTCAGTAATGGCATAGCCAGGAAAACGTTGACGGAGCTGGGCACAGCGGGCAACCAACCTAGCGGGAAGGACCTGCCAAGCAACGGCAGCAGTCGGCGGGCAGGTAAACATGCCCAAATTATTCATCGCAGAACATCTCATGACGTTATCCATCCCCTCTTTCCTGTGGTCATGTTTGAGCTGAGCCTCCCCTTTCCCGATCAACCCACAAGAAAGCAGCGCCTGGTCGCGCCGTCGAGCAGGGGCAGCATTCGCCAGATTGCAGGCAGGGAGCGAAATACATTCACCATCTCAAAGAGACAGTCTTCGGCATATACAATACAAAATGGAAAATGCATAGAGAGGGTATGTTGAATCCAACGCAGCACAGGGTCAGAGCGCCATCGAGCTGGGACCCCCTTGTCTAACACCCCTGCTCAGAGCAAAGCTGCCAAACCGCTGCCCTCCAAGAGTGCCCTCCTCTTGCAAAATTTCCGAACAAACACCGGCACGCGCATGGCAGCAATAACTGAGAAGGGCCAGACGCCGCAGCGAAGTCGGTGGGAAGGGCCGCAGAGGAGTCGCGCTCAAGGAGATGTTGTTGAAGCCCCCTGCTCTCTGCTTGCATTGCATTCGTGAGCATCTGCCGCCCTTGCGCGCTCCTCTGGAGCGGGGCAACAATCGATTGCGAGGGGGCCCCGGGCGGCCTGCAGCACGCACAGGAGGGGATCTCGGCATCCGGGTTCGACGTCGATCGACGTCAAGAGCGGGCGCGTGCGCGAGCCATCGCGAACGACATCCCCTGTCCCGCCCCCTACCCGTTCTCCTTTCGGTGAGAATGCCATGAGCAGCTCGCCCATATCAGGAGGTTCCGGCTGGGCGTTGCTATGGGCGCTATCTAGGATCTAGGCAAAGGTTGTACAGATATCGCGGCGCATTTCCAACGCGCCAGCAGTAGTGGGGGACGCCGTCGGGCCCAGGCTTAGACTTACGACATGATTTGATGAGCTGGTAGACGTCGCGGTAGTCTCCTCCCCCCAGGAAACCTAAAGCTCGCCACCCCCAGGAGCAGTTTTCACGCGCGCCAGAATATGTTCCCATTGAGACGGATCTTCGCGAGCCGCCGAGCACACCTTCCCCCGATGTGTAGCAAGTTCGGTGGCAGACTCGGCGAGCGATGCGCACGGGCGGCCTTGCGGCGCTTGAACTTGCGCCAGAGTTCTTGATTGCGGCGTAACATGCCCGGAGCATACTCCTTCGCGCCCTCAGTCACGTTCGCATCCTCATTCACGCCCTCCCCCTCTTCTCCATTCCGAAGCTGAACGTCGAGATCTCGGGCAAGCCCGCGGAGGCCAGGCAGATCGATGCACACCATCGCCTCGAGATCTAAAAACTGCCGTAGCGGTGGATGGCAAGCAAGGGCGCGGCAAACGAGGTGGCCCTGCTGGGCTCATAAAGCCCGGAGGGCAACCGTGCGCCAGTGGCGCTGCTCTGGCAACTTCTCTGAAAACTTGATCGGCTGGACTGTGGCGGACGCGAGGCGCAGAGCTATGCGCACTAGAGTTGGCTTGCTGCAGAGCTGTAGCGGTATCGAGAGCACCAAATTGAAGCGAACGTGCATCGGTTTCATGCCGAGGACTTCTTGGTGCACTTCATTCTTGCTCAGCCAGCTCGGGATGATGGCGTCGTTGCCAGCGAGTGAACGAAAAGCGTGAATATGTACAATTACAAGCGTATGATCAGAGGCACGCGCGCGTCATAGCTTACCAATCACAGAGGCTTGGAAGGTAAAGTCAGCAACAGTGGCGGAGGGCAGAAACGAGTAAACTCGATGAAGTCGCGATGGATGTGCTATGTTTCCATCTCTAAGCTCCCGCCTCGTGTCGTCAGCCTGAAAGAACTCGACCACTGCTCGCGCTTGCAGCGCGCGATGTTCAGTGAAAATGTACATCCTCATTAGACCACCCACGCCCGTCAGGATACATCCCCTCCCTCCTCAAACGCAAGTTTCTAATTCCCAAGGGCGACGGAGAAACGCTGCTCCGCCGGGGGAAGAACTGCCAGCGAATCTTCTTATGAGTCAGCGTGCTTGAAGAGGCCCACAAGTTATAAGAGTTTGAACTTCCATGATGGCAAGATCCCCCTTCTTTCCCATGGGCAAGCTAGCTGGCATCCTGCCCTCCTGCACAAAATTGCGAAAAATTGACTAAAACTGCTGGGCGAGGTCGGGCGCGGGATGGGTGGCAAGACGCTGGCGCGCACAGTGTCCCCGAACATCGTGCCACATACGCTGGAGTCTTCAAATTCGCTCTGCAGCTGCGTGATATCTGCAATGGTCTCATGGGTCTCCTGGGCGCTCGCGATCTGGCATTTCCGACAGAATCTCAAGAAAATGCAAACGCGACTGGCAGCATTGTCTTGACGATGGGTCCTGACGGAAGCAAAGGGCCCACGAAAATTCCACGTGGCACTTCTGAGAGAGCATGCTGGAACAAAAAGCTCCTGGCGCGCTGCATTCTGGTCGCTGGGCCAAGACGGAGGAGGGCCGCGCGATGGCGGCGCAAGGCAAATGGCGGCAGGACAGTCATCCTGCTCAGAGTCAGAAGGGGTAGACGACGAGCCGGAAGATGTAGACGCAGAACTAAAGGCTGATGAGCTGGACAAATTCGAGCTCATGCGCGATGTGTCGACGCCGGTAAGCTTCAGGATCATGGATTGTGAAGCAGTCTCAGGCGAAGCGCCCGGCCCGCCTGTCCGACTGGCCTCGAGGTGCGACGGGGTTTCTTGTGAGGGAGAGGAGTGGTGGAGCAGGAGGGGGCCCTGGCGTCGAGCGCCGCCGCCGAGGCCGCTGCCGGAGGCCCGGGCGGCAGGGCGGGCACCTCCGCGGCACAGCCTCGCGGGCGGGCCCGCGGGGGGGATGGCACGAGCGCAGCGGGCAGCGGGGCCGCGATGGACGGCGGGGGGGGGGCAGCAGCGTGGGGCAGAGGAAAGGCAGGTACGGCAGGTTCGTGCCGTGGCGACCCCAGAGTTGGTTCCTGACACCGCGTGGATGGTTCAACCTGGAACGACCGGCAATGTTCCGATCTCCAGATCACTCCGCATTGGCAAATTCTTTCAACTTTGAACGCCCGCGGCGGGGTCGCTGCCGCGTCGGCACGATACGAAGCTACCGTATACAGAGCAAAAGTTGGGTGTGCCCTCTCGTCATCTTGCTCCAACTGCTCTCTCGCTGCTGTCCCTCCCCTACCTTGTCCTTCTCCTCCTCCGTCACCTTCTCCGACTTTTCCGCCTCCTCCTTCTTGTCCTCCTCCCCCCTCCTCCGCCTCCCCCCTTCCGGGTTGCGACGGACAGCGCTGCAGTGCAGGGGGCCTGCGCACAAATCCCACGCCGACCGCACAAGGGGCAAGCGTGGCCGCGAAGAGGGCGCCCCGGACCCGTGTGCATAGATAGCGTTGCTGATTGAGGCACGTACGTCAGAACCTCTTGGAGAGGACGGTCTCGGGAAGATCCGGACCTTCCTTGCGGCCCACCCGCCGCCCGATGATCCCGGAAGCGGGCCTCCGAGCGACGAGCTCCAAGAAGCCGTCCAGTGTTGCAAGCGGGCGGCGTGTCGCTCTGCTCCGCGGGGCGGGAGGCTTGGAAAAACTCGGGGCATTGACGCTCGGGGCTGTGGACGTAGATAGCGTTTCGCGACGAAGCGTGGTGGGCCAGAACCGGCGGAGCGACACGCTGAGCCAAAATTCCCGACAATACGTTCCTCCGTCTCATCCTCCTTGTTCCTCGTTCCTTCAGCATCCGCTCGCGCCCGCGTCCCCGTGCACCTCGTTCATCGCGACTCGTGCCCCAGTCCTCCTCCGCGTTCCTCGTTCCTCCTCCTCGTTCCCCTTTCGATCTTTCCTCGCCAGAAAGTCCCTAGGCCCAGGTGGCCCTCGGGCCAGAGCTCGGGCCTCGGGAGGTTGTGCGGGACGACCCTGGCATCCCCAGAACGCCCCCGGCGCCGCTGCGGCCGAACAGAGCAAATCACCGCGTGCCCCGGAAGCCTCCGAAGGCTGGCGAACTCTGAAGGGGCCCTGGGACACACAAATAAATACACACAAATAAACATATCCCCCATGCTTTCCTATATTTTCTGGGTTTTTGTCTTCCCCCCCACTTCCCATATTTTCCCATATTTTCTGGGAATCGCCGATTAATTGTGTCTGTGTGTTTCTTTCCCTCCTGAAAACTGCACAAGCATGATTTCTCGGAGGCCCGCGTGAATTTCTCGGATCGGCGCTGGACCCCCCTCCCGCCAAAGGGGGGGGGCCCGGCGCCGATCCAAGAAATCCGCGCGGAGCTCAAAGAAATCACGCTTGTGTGCGCATTCGCCATAAGAGGCACCCCGACAAACGAAACCGTTTAGTAAACGCAGCAAAGGCACGAAACGAACAGGGCAGGGCTGTTTACTAAACGCCCATGGCCGTTTTAGTAAACGCCAGTGATGGGGGTCGGGTGGTTTTCCTCCTTTGATTTCGGACCTTCGATTCCAAAGCCTGGGCCACGGGGCTGGGCCGCGGGGAAGCGTGCCACGGCGCGCGCGCGGGCGGGGCGCGGCCAAGGTTGGCGAGCTGGCAGCCGGCGCAGCTCGGACACTGGCCCTGCGCGCGCGCCGAGCGCGGGAGGGTCACGCGCACGCCAGGGGGGGGGGGCAGCTAGGACGGGAATGATGTCATGGTAGGACTGGCTCAGGATGCGCTTCAAAATTTCCAGATTCTCTAGCGGCCTTCGCTTCTGCAGCCCGTGTTGCATATCAGGAAATTCGGGAAATCATGGAATGTGCCATTATCATGACCTCTTGCTCCTCTGGGGAGCGGCCTGGGGTCGCAGGCCCCACGGGCCCCTCACCTTTTTTCCTCGCGAACAACAGCATAAACGCGGAGCTAGCTCGCGCACGTTCCGTCGGCATCACGGGCTGAGTGGAAAGCGATCGCGAAGCAGATCCGCAAACCCCAATCGACAGGGGCGAAGGCCAATACAGCACTTCGCAACGCAGGTCTCGCTGGCCCCGGGCCCCTCACTGCGGGCTGGGCGGGCGGCGAAGCTTGGCGTTCGAGGCCCTCGGGTCGTTGTCGTGGGTTTTCCCAAGGGCCCTCTGGCCCCGAGAGCGCGCCGAGAGGGTGCCGAGGATCGTCCTGGGCGGCCGCCAGAGGCCCGAATTGCGGCCCGAGGATCAAACGAATACCTCTTCGCGTCGTAAAGCGCAAACGCGACAAAAGGTTTGCGACCGTTCTCGGCTTCTGTGGGGGGGCCCGGCCCAAAGTCTGGGGCCATCAACACAACGGCTCGGGATGAGGATGCGGTCCCCAGGGATGGGTCGGGACCTCTGGGGGTCCACGCTGCGAAAAGGTCGCGACGTCGGGTACAATCGAAACCGATGATGTAGGAATGGGTAACCTTCCTAAAGTTACCCTTGCAACCTGGCCTCTTCGGTCCGTCCTTACTTAAGCACATTCGATGGCCAGCCCTGCTCGAAAGGCTTCGACACGCGCGCCCAAATTCTATGTCGCCCGAGGAGGCAGCGGTGTTGTTTATAAGGCAGGGGCGGCGTAACACATAGGCTACTGGAGGCCCGCGCGAACTTCCTCGGAGCTGGCGCTGGAACCCCCTCTTCATCCACCTTCCAGCCCCCTCCTCGCCCGCGGGCTAGCAAAGAGGCGGCCTCCGAGGCTACGAGAGGACGCGGAGGAGGCGGAGGCGAAGACCAGCCCCCAGACCCCGCACCAAGAAGCGAAAGCAGAAGGAAGGAGCCCACGACCGACTCCCGGGCGCCGCGCGGGCGCTCGGCGGCGGCGTAGCCAATTCCAAACCTGAAGTGCCCAGGGGCTGACAAAATGCCGGCGGGCGCATGGGCCGCCAACGTTTGTCAGAAAACGTGCGTCCTCGACCGCTTGGACGCTTTCGTCCTCCACCTCTGCCTGAGGCCTCGGGCGCCGGAGACGCTGCCGACGTCTGCCGCCCCGCGCGTGGGATTGCGCCCCTCCGGGACTATTGTTCCCCCTTCCATCCAACTCCGCGGTTTCTCCGCGACGCGCGCCCCCCACCCCCCGCCGCCCCGAGCCCTTGACCTCGTCCCCGGGCCAAAAGTCCTGTCCCAAAGCGTTCTCTGACGACCCCTAGGCCGGACACAGGCGCCTGGGCACGAAAAAAAGGAACGCCACCGCCTCGATTCTCTCAAGACGAAGAGGAGGGGTACAAGGAGGGAAAAGGAGGGCGAGGAGGTGAGGAAGTGGGTCGAATGAGAACGCTGAGGGGGGACATGGCGGCGATGCTAGTGCGGAGGGGGAGAGGAAGAGACGGGCGACGAAGATGGGATGATGATGGCGGTGAGGAGGAGGAGGAGGAGGAGGAGGAGGAGGAGGAGGAGGAGGAGGAGGAGGAGGCGGAGCAACATGGCCCAGAAGAGAAAAAGGGCGGCCAATAATACGAGACGAGAAAAGAATAACGTCCGTCAATCGTCCCTTAGAGAGGCGGCGGGCGCTGGCCTGCGACGGATCGGCTGCGTGAGCCGCGCTTGGGCGGCTGCAACAATCTACCCTCCTTGCAAACCTCCCTGGTGGCGGCAGGAATGGTAAATGGGTAAATGCTATAGCTGTCATGAAAAATCGCAGCAGACACAAGCTGGGACTTTCGCAGAGGGAGCAAGGGGACGAAGGCGGCGCGAGCAGCACCAGGGGCAGCAAAGAAAGGAGGGGGAAGACGGGGGAGCAGGGAACATACAGGCTCACACACCCCTGTGGATATCTTACAGAGCACGCGATTCATGCGGGCTTGGGGAACCCTGGCAGACGTCCACCAGGCATTACACATGGAGCGGAGCAAACTGGCGACAACACATGGGGGGATCAATACCTGCATTCGGGGGAGAGCCAGCGTTAGATACACTTTCTACCGTCGGGGCTCAGGTCTGGATACAAATGTCGAACACGAGCTGCCAGCACTTTAGTAGCCGATATTTTTTCAACCCACCAAAACAAGGCTCTCGGACATCCCTTGGATCCTGGACACGCCGAGCGAGGGAATGTTCGGGGTCTGTTGGGGCCTCCGGAGGTTGTCCTTCATGTGGTAGAACATAATATGAGGATACCAGGGGGTAAGCTCCCAGAAAATAGCACATTCATCATCGTCGCTAAGCTCTTCAATCGACTTACAGATGTCCTGGAAGGCCTTCGACTAGAAGGCGGTCCTATACATGGCCGCTCGCGCCATACAAAAAAAATACCGAACCGGAGCGTCGAGCCCTCCATCTTTCATGTCGTACAACAATTCACTAGAGAATGAGTTCCTTGGGGCATCCGTGAGGCTCTAAGCGCACGGAATTCTTGCTGGAGGGCATACTTGGACGGGCAGGAAAAACTGGGCAACACAGCTCAGGCAGGACAGAGCATATACACTGTAACGCAACAAGGTTCTGTAAAGCACCAGCTTTACTGCTTTGCGCTCTCGAGCTCGACGCAGGGCTTTGTTTGCAGGGGCCTCCCAACCCAATGTATCCGAATCCTTCCCAACCCATGTTGCAAGATACATGCCTGCTAAGGCCAGGGTCACGTCGGCCGTGTCAATACCTAGATCATCTGCAACGGCTGCTGGAATTCCGAGAGATGGTGAGGTGGAGGAGAAGGAGGAGGAGGAGGAGGAGAAGAAAAAGGGTGACGTGGCGGAGCCGGGGTAAAAAAGGAGCAGGATGAGGACGAGGGGAGAACATGGACGGGCGGAGGGAGAATAGGAGAAGGATGATGGAAAGGAAGGGTAACGAAGGTGGAAAGGGTGAGGTGAGCAAGGGCGCGCGGTCCCAGCAGCGGGCAGCACCGGTCCTGGACCATGGCGTGCGCCAGTGCGCAGGCGGTGGCCTGCCCGCCGTACTTGTGGCTCGAAACCCAATCGACGCGGTACCTTGGGGAGTGGGCGCCACCCGCTCATCAAATACTCACACACGAGACTGAGTGGAACAAGAGATGCAGACGAGGTCCTGACTCCATCAACCACCACTTCAGGCAAATATGTACTTAGACTGTAGCATCTGTGCGGTGGTGGACCTGTGCCATGCTGCACTCATATGTGCCGTGTCCAGTGCGCGGCGGTCGTGGCGTCATCTTTGGGTTCCTGAGCTGTTCCCTACAATGTTGACACGATTCACGCGCGAACTCAGTTGTGATGAGGCTCGCGGGTGGCCGTGGTTTTTGCTGTCGCGGTTGTGTCCTTCGGTGGCGTAATTGGTATAAATGCTCAGGTGGCTGTGATGACGCGGAAATGCGGCAGAATGTAGACCGCAAATTCGCAATGTGGGTCGTTTGCGGCGTACGTCAAAGTGTTACGCGTCTGACGTCTGACTAATATCCACGGCCCCCCCTTGTGGGGCCACCACGTTGCGCGGATTAGGTTTGTTGCTCTCTGCTCCACTTCCTATGTCAGATCTTCCCTGTTATAGTCCCACTTGAGACTTCCTTCTCTGAGTTGTTGAAGTGCGCGCGAACGGGGGGTGATCTCAAAAAGGCCCAATGGACCAAGCCCTCCAGGTGGTCTCAGAGGTTCTGGGGGGTTGTGGGACATGTAAAAATATATATGGGACTCTCGCATCCGACACCAGAAACCCCTGTACATCTGGCATTGTCTGCGTTCCCGATGCCACGGCCCTTCGCAAATTATGCTAAATTCGCGCCCTCGAGGCCACATCCCCTTGTAACTTATACAATGTCCGCGTCCCCGAGGCAACGATCCCTTTTGAATTGCGCCATCCTTGCGCACTCGAAACCATAAGTCCTTGTAGCTTACGCAGTAGTCGTGTCATCGAGGCCATCAACCATGGTAAATTCTATTACACCGGAGCAAGAACCCCTTTGGAATTAGTGATACGGATATTGAGATCGATTGTGAGATCGATAGTGTAATCGATAATAAGGACGACTGTCGACCGTAAGACCGATACTGATGTCGATTCTACGATATAATTTCGTGAGATTGATCGTGAGATCGCTCGTGAGATCGATAAGGAGATCAATACTGAGATCGTTTGTGAGATAGATTGTGAGATCGATAGAGAAATGGGTAATGAGATCGATCGTGGGACAAATCGATTCAAAAAATGTACCAAAAACCCAGGAACATAGGAACCCCGCCGCCCACCGAAATCGGCCTGGAACCAATATCCGGGAACCCGGAACCAGGAACCCGGGAACCCAGCATGCTACCAAAATCGGCGGGAAACTTTCGCAACTTCCGCTAGGACCCCCTCAGTGCAAGCACTGATTGGGGAATCCGCGGGCCCCCTTGCGGGGCCATCGGGCTGTAGGACGAGGGCTTGCTGCTCCCTGCGCCACTTCCAGTTTCCAGTGTTACAATATTGCTTTATGCTGCTTACTGTTCCTTGTTGATGGATCGCGCGAGGGGGGGGGAGCTGAAAAGTATCGTGGTTAGCGTCTCCTGAGAGGTTGCTCAGAAAGTCTGGGGGGGTCGAAACTGACACCCCTCACGCAGATCGGCGGGGTCAGGGTCCAAATAAACACGCGGGATTTACCACATTTCTGAAATTCGGTGGCACCCTTCACGCAGATCGGCGGGGTCAGGGTCCGAGAACATAAAGGATTTGCTGCATTTCTGAAATTCGGCGGCACCCCCTCACGCAGATCGGCGGGGTCAGGGTCCCAAAAACACGCGGGATGTACCACATTTCTGAAATTCGGTGGCGCCCCTCTTGCAGGTCGGCGGGGTCAGGGTCAACAAACACATGGGATTTGCAACATGTCAATACTTCGTAGAAATGTTTTTTGCACAGCATGCGCGGGCAAGCTCGAAGTACAACACCGAATTCAACAACATCATCAAAATCTCACTTTGTGTTGCCGGTTACTCATCGTCCTCGCGTGAAGTCCCGACGCTGCTTCACGGCGGCGCCAAGGCCTCATGATTTCGCTCTTGCATTACCCATGATCCGAGAGAGGGGCCCGGCGGCAGGGGGCGAAGCCCTTACGGATATGATATCTGCGTCACCGAAGCCACGATCGTTTGCAATGTATGCCCTATTCGCGTCCCCGGCGCCGCGGCGCCTCGTAACTTACGCAATGCTCGCGTCCCCGGAGTCACGATCCCAGGCAAATTCTGCAATGGTCGCGTCCCCGAGGCCACGGCCTCCCTTCTAAATTAACAAGATTCGCGTCCTCGAAACCGTGGTTTTTGGTACAATATGCAATGCTCGCGTCCCCGAAGCCAAACACAAAGTACGCAATGTTTGCGTCTTCGAAGCCACGGTCCCTTTAGTTTATGTGATACTCGCGTCCCCCTACGATCCCGAATGAAGTATAAGATGTTCGCGTCCCGGAGGCCACGTACTCGCGCACTCGAAGCCATTCTCCCAAATAGATGTTGCAATCTTCGCGTCGTCGAAGCCATGCGCCCTCGAAAATTTTACAATGCTTGCGCCACCGAAACCGCGATCTCCCGCCAATCAAACAATACTTGCGCTCCCGAAACCGCGATCAAGTGTAGCCATACACGCGTTTAAAACAGATTCGTGTCTTCGAGGCAAAATAACTGGGTAACGCATACAATATTTGTTCCGAAGAGGCCACGGTCCTTCGTAAATTTAGCATGTTCGCGTCCTCGGGACCACGATCCTTTCTTTAATATGCTGCTTTCGCGTCCCCGAGGCTACGATCCCTAGTGAATTACGCGATGCTCGCGTCCCGACGCCACGATTGTCAGCATCATCGCAGCGCGAACCGTCATCATTCAAAACTTCTTGTGGTAAAAAACAGCGTTGCTTCGCAAGCCGTAAAATGCTATATCGGCCCTCGCGTGAAGTCCCAGGCATTGCTTCACGACGGCGCTCTCGCATCCCAACCTATCTCTGGCATGCCCCAGTCTAAAAGAAAGGGAGCCCGCGGCAATGGGCAAAACCACTGCGACCCTATTTTATATATATATATACACATATATAAATATGTATATATACACATCTAGAACAGATAATGGTAGACATCTGCGTGTACACGTGCATGTATAGCACGTATATGAGAGCGCCCGCCCACTTCTCCTCAATGGGGGTGAGGGGCAGCGGCGACAAACGGATGGTATTGCACATGTGGTACGCAACAACAACTGCCTCCACGACTTGTGCGCTATGGGGCAAGATCAAAGCCTGGCCTCGACAATGGATCGGGCGGGAGATCGACCCTGTGGGGATCAGCCGCGGACCACAGCACAGGAAACCGAATGTAATGTGCAAGCGTGCCCGAACCGTCCTCACAAGTGCATCGGAAATTACAGCAGGCAGTCCATCCTGGTGGGTGCATGGTGGCGCTTGTCGGCCAGGTCACCGCATATCGATTTGAGGGCGGCCAGCTGCCACGCGGGCGCCACAAATCCCAGGAGGTCCCGAAGCGGGGGGCAGAAACCAGTTTCAACCATGAGAGCCCACTTGTCCAGGCGCCGCTTGAGCGTTACGTGGAGGGAATCCGGAAAGAGAGAGGGGTGCCAAGAGGACAAGGAAAACTTCTGGACCCGCACGCGCGCAGACTGCGATTTCTCCAGCTCGCGCCGGCGCGGCCCACGGCGGTTCCGAGTAGGCTGGCTTGATGAAGGCAGCATCCGCGCCCATGAAGTCGGCGACGAACAGCTTGGTCCGCCAGAATGTCGATGCCACGGGCCTGCTGCCGAGGGCCGCCAGTGTGCCATGCTGCTCGAGCTGCTCGTCAAACCGGTCGAACAGCTGGGGCCAGTTGGTTATGCCCAATGCGGAACGCATCAGGGTCGCCGTCCCGATCACCAGCATCGACCGAGGATTGATGGCCGACCACGTGCTCATGGACATGGTGTCGTATCGCGTCAAGGACGGGGCGGCATGCGCCAAATCTTCAACCACACCTATGCTTCACGTGCTCGAAGACTGCGGGGAGTCGGGCACAGCTGCTGAAGGTAGCCCAGGACAGGCAGGATCCGTTCGATGTGGAGGCGCGTCGGTACCGAAATGAGAACACCAGCAGCAGTCAAGTCAAGTACGCGGGCAGTGTACTTGGCGGCGGCCTTGCGCGTGGCCGTCGGCGCTGGCATCTGAGTTGCGGTCTGCGTGGCCATAGGACCGGCGACCAGCGTCGCTGCAGGGTATTACGCCTCTGTGGCCGTAGCAACATCAGCCAACATGTTCACCAAGGTAGTAGTCGGCGTGGCCGCTACAGTGTCAGTCTGTAGGCCATGTGACCAAGGTCAGCTCGGCTATAGCCTGTCAATCGCCATTGCCATCTGGCCAACAGTTGGCGTGCGGACGCGCTGTCAGCGAACTTGGCCTGGCAGTTGGGGAACATGGAGAAGACGACCAGGACTATACACCCCTGCGTATGTATCATCGCTTTTCTTGACCTTGTCAATGCGATGGCTGCTCTGCTGCGAGACATCCGTCGGTCATTCCTAGCGCCGTAATTCGAACCATAGGAACTCATTCGGTGCGTGAAGGCCGCTATCTAGAAGTTTTCGCCAGGACCTTGCTGCCAGAAGGGTTCACCTTCCTTGTTTCTTCTGCCTTCACCCACGTTTCCAACCATCAGCCTGTTCCTCCTCCCTAGGTAACTTAACTTCGCGCAACGCGCCCCTCGATGCGCGACGCGCGTTTATGTTCGCGCACCCGCTCCCCCACGCGGCCGCTTTGGAGAAGGGCGGCTGCTTCGGCCCAGGCCGCGACGCGCGACGCGCGATATCTTCGCGCCCCCGTGGGTAACCTCGACTTCCCCTTGCGACACCGAGAGGGCTCCCTTACAGCCCCACACCACCGCAGAACATGGCCAGGACCGCGGCGACACGGGGGGCCGCGACGATCAAGTACAGCAGCGGCACCGCGCCCCCAAGCCGGCCTAGCTCAGACCAGGTGGGTGAGGCCGTGGCTTCGAGGATCTGACTTTTCTGGCACACAAAGTTAGGAGGAGAGGAGGAGGAGGAAGAAGAGGAAGTCTTTGATGTCGGTGTCGGCGCGGGCGAGGCGTGTCGTCTCGACTTTCTCTGGGCGTTCAGTTGGCGTGCCTTGGTCCTGGGTGTTTGTTGGTGCGAGGTCGGTGTAGTAGGCTCGAGCGCCGCCCATGTTTTGGTATCTTGGGCTGCTTGCGTCCATGTGATGTCGGTCGGTGTTCTTCTCGATTGGGTCTGTGTGGACGGTCGATGGAGGTCTGGCCTGCGTTGGCGTAGTCGGCATTGATTTCGTCGTCCCAGCGCTTGCGTTGGCCACCGTGCTGTCTCTGTCCCTGCTGGCGCTGGCTGAGGTCTGGTTGCCAGCGAAGAACTCGCCATGCCCACCTAGTTCGGTCGTGGCTATGCCTTCCCTTTTTGGCAGGGCCGCGCCCTGACAAACACCGCCCAGCCTAGACCTCCCACGGATCGATAGCCTCGAATCTCGGAGCCCTGGACATTCCCGGGGATATCTTCTCCACCGCGGGCGCTTTTGTTGGAGGCGGCGGAGGCGTCCCGATCTCGGCCTCCAGAGCCAGAACCCAAGCACGAGATAAACATCGGACATGAAACGAATCTGGAGTTATGGGGAAATGTCCCTCTTCCTTCTCCTCCACCCCTCCTCCCTGGAGCTGTCTGAACTCTACCCTCGTCCTCCGCCGAAAATGTTTTCAGAGGACGCCAGACGTCCTGAGAGGTCCTGGAGGCCTCTGCGTGTCTCCACGTTCCCGAACAACAAACATCTTGATCCTCGAATCATGATCCTCCCTCCTCCTCCTCCTCCTCCTCCTCCTGCTCCTCCTCCTCCTCTTCCCCCACCCCCCCTCCTCCTCCTCCCTTTTCCTCCCGGAGCTCCCTCGTCCTCCTCCGCCCTCTCTTCTCCCCCCTTCTCCCTCTCTCGGGCCGCACACGCATACGTCCTGGGGCGAGGCGAGGCAGACGCCACGAGCAAGGAGGGTCTGCTGGGGGTCGGTCGGGCCCCCCCCATGATCCTCCTCCTCGCCCCCGTCCGCCCCCCCCTCCGCCCCCTCCCCGTCTTCTCCGTCCTCCTCCGCGGGCGCCGCCGCGAGCTCGGGGCCGCGACGACGACGACGACGATGATGCTGATGATGATGCTACTGATGATGGCGATAATGATGATGCTGATGATGATGATGATGATGATGATGATGCTGATGATGATGATGCTGATGATGATGATGATGATGATGATGCTGATGATGATGATGATGATGATGATGATGATGATGATGATGCTGATGATGATGAGTATGCTGATGCTGATGATGACGACCACCACCACCACCACACCACCACCACGCCGAAGACCCTCCTGGAGCTGCCCCGCCCAGTGAACGGGGGCCGCCTGCAGGTCGCCGTCTGGCCGTCGTGCTCGCACTCGCTGTCGCACGTGCCAGGGGCAGCGTCTTCCTTTGTGTGTTTGCCATTTTTAACTGGGCTTCCTCATCCTCCTTCATCCTTCTTGTTATTGTTGCTCTTTATATCACTGCTTCTGTCTCTGGCTGTCTGTCTGTCTGTCTGTCTGCCCGCCTGTCTGCCTGTCTGCCTGTCTGCCTGTCTGCCTGTCTGCCTGTCTGCCTGTCTGTGTGTCTGTGTGTCTGTGTGTCTGTGTGTCTGTGTGTCTGTGTGTCTGTGTGTCTGTCTGTCTGTGTGTCTGTCTGTCTGCCTGTCTGCCTGTCTGTCTGTCTGTCTGTCTCTGTCTGTCTGTGTGTCTGTCTCTGTCTGTCTGTCTGTCCGTCTTTCTCTCTCTCTCTCTCTCTCGCTCACTTAGTCCCTGTCTCTGTCTCTGCCGCTGTCCCTGTCTCCGCTCTCGAGGAGGACGCTCCAGGATAGTGCGGGCTCGACATTGCTTCATCAAAATGCGGAATCAGAAGCAATGACTCTCCAACCGTCTGACCTAGCACGGCTCCCTCGGAAGCGACGGGTGGCCAAATCGGAAACCCACTGTGACCCGTGGGCGTGCCTTCCATCAGAGGTTGGGGAGTGAGATCGAAGTGAAACGGAGACCCCCCACCAGGAAATCGGTTTCGGTTTCGCGTTCGTGTGGTGCGTGCGGGCGAAGCGCAGCTGCCTCGACGGGCGAGCGGAATGAACCCACAGAGGCCAGAACGACACCAGGCCAAATGATGCTGTGACACCAGGTTGGCCGGCGGTGGCCCGGGGGTGTCCCGATGGTGTCCCGGTGGTGTTTCGATGGTGTCTCGACGGAGTCCAGATGGTGTCCCGATGGTGTCCCGATGGTATCCCGATGGTGTCCAAATGGTGTCCCCATGGTCTGCCGATGGTGCCCCGATGGTTGTCCCGATTTTGTCTCGATTGTGTCCCGATGGTGTCCCGATGGTGTCCATATTTTGTCCCGATGGTGTCCAGATGGTGTCCCGATGGATGCTGTCCCGATGGTGTCCATAGGTATGTCGCCGCGCCGTTTGTTTTCGACGCGCCCAAGTGGACGAAACCGACACCACGGCAAACTCACAGCACGCCCTGCGCCCCATGCCCCAAGTGGACGAGGCCAGCACCGCGGCAAACCCACGGCAAGCCCACTGCGCCCGAGGCGAGAGGGAGTTGGAGCTCCGCAGGCACGGGGAGTACGCCGCGACGGCCCTCGAGTCGGCCTTCTCATCCCAGACGGAGAAGCTCAAGGCCACTCTGCGTTCGAGAGTGTCCTCCCACACCACCCGCTCGGTCACCCAGCCCGAGCAGCCGTGCCAAGAACACCTTGTCGCGTCCAGAGCTGGGCTGGCTCCAGACGGTCGGGGGACCCAAGTTCAAGCTCCCAGCCAAGGCGGATCGGCCAGCCATCAAACTCCTATTCGCCAAAGCCCTCA